CACAAACTAGGATTCACTGGGGTCTAGACCCTGAGCTCACTTAAAGGTGATACCAAACCTTTCACTAGTTTTATGGGAGTGGATATTAGACCCGTGGTTCACTGAAGACACCAGAGGCCTTACAGAATGTATGATACCATATATTAAATACTCCTTAGAACTAAAAAGGAATTTTGCAATCGCTTTGACCGTTTCATTGGTATTTAGGATATTTGGGGAAAGAAAGAGCACTTCTTTTCTATGTGTGTTTGTCCCCTTCCCCCAGTGATACTCCCCACAAAAGGCAGATGTTTTAAGACACTGGAAAAAGTAATCATACACAATTAGGTTTGAAGCTTAAAGAATAAAAATCTCTATTTTTATCATAGGCATACTGTTATAATTGTCATGCATGAGCTTGCATTCAAAGAAAATTCATTTGTTAAAATTTATCACTGACTTCTCAGCCAATTTGTCAGCTGACTACTACCACGTCTGGACATGATTAGCTAGCTTCACTCGGAGATACAGGGTGCCCTCTATAATGCTTCCACAGGATGAAATCCTAAACCCAGTAAAGCCTTTGAACATTTTGCAAGGAACTTATTCACACGGAGCCAGGACCTCATGGATGCTGCTGTAGGCTCTACTTTTTTCTGCTTTCACAGCTTAAGCCTTTCTAGGAGAGAAAGGCCAACTTCTTCGACAATAAACACACTCTTACTCCACCAGCAGACAGAGCAATCCCGGGTCCCTGGGCTGTGTTTGGAAACACTTCACTGGCAGGATCGGTCTGAGGCAAAGATGAGGCATGATGAACGAGGCTTCTGACAAGGGGGCTGGCTCTGCTCATCTAATTGCGGTTGCTGCTCCTATGATGTGGAAACCTGCCTATTAGAAACCACATTTCACAGGTGACTGAGCAGCCATCAGATGGTAACAGCTTTCATTTGTTACCGACCTCCCTTCCCTGACACAGCGAAAGCGTGAATGGCCCAATATCCCATTGTCAGTCCAGAGCCACACACTCCTGCTTTGTACACTAAATTATAAAATATCTGCATTTTCCAGATTGTTTTGAAACATCACTCTTAACTAGCATTTTCTCATCTAGGCATCAGCCTCATAAGAGAATGGCAAATTCTTCACTACTCAATTATGCAAAGTTTGAGGGCATTTTGGACTATGATTGTAGAGTACATCACTACATTTTTATACAAAGAAGGTATTTACTCGGAATATTGTGGGCAGATGTGACTTGGTATTTCACAGAGACAGGATCAGAGCCTTTGCTGAGACCCAGATATGGCAGTGACTAGACCAAAAGTAGTCCTTCCAGTGATGGACAGAAAGACAACTCCGCTACCAAAATTACATACAGAACTTAGCACATTACTTTAAACTGAGGATGCTATCAAGAGACTTCATCAAATTTTACACCCTCCAGAGCTCTGGCTCCATCAATGACATAAGGGATTCAGAAAGAGACAGAACAAATCTCTCCATCTGGCTAAGCCCTCTGTATCTGGTTGGCCACATATCGTCCAGCCAGACAAATACACATCACATGTGAAGAAGAAACTTTCCAAAGTTAACAACCATTTGGTAATTGTAAAGATTTTGTGACCCTACCTCAGAGTACTCATGGTCATTTCACAACCCCAGCTATGTAACACCCTGCTCTGGGAGAGCATTGGTGCAATTTAATACAATAAACAGGAGACTGCACAAAACCCGCGGTGAATCCTGCTCTGATGACAACCACAGAGCTATGCAATGAATAACATTTACTTTTAATTTACATTTAGATTTCTTAAGCACACCTTCCAAAAGCACAGTGTGCTAACACACACACAACCAGCTGTACAGCTGCATCTCCAGTGAAATGTAATAGCAATCCAGGCTGACACAACTCTCAGTAAACTCTGTTCCACCTCCTCAGCTCCTCCAATCCTCTGGGCATCTTCAGCAGCACTGAAAGAAGAACTGGCCTCTCCACAGTGACTGGTGTCAAAGAGGGCTTTGAAGGTCTGCAGACCAATAAGGTCTGCCAAAACATCTGTCCCCTGCGAGTTCCAAGGTCAAGGATCCTCATCATGAACACTGGGAACCACTCCCTGATATTTAACTCTTCGAGAGTTTATCCTTCTGGAAAGAGACAATCTCTGAGAGATGCATACAGCTAACAGAATGATTTTGGCATGTTTTGCCCTTGAGGCCAACTATTGAAGCACTGATTCTAATCTACATAAAATTTTCAGACCAGATAAAAAGAAACCTGAATTTCTTTACAAGATTATTTTTTTCAAAGTGTTACAGATCAAGAAAATCAGTTTTCTATGGCTGCACCTTAGAAAAAAATGGATCTAAAATACAAAATGGTCACAAACCTAGCAACAAGTATCAGGGGTTTTTACAGGTATAATATGATAGCTGTACTCAGCTTTTCACATGATCTTGCATTCTGAATATGTCACCATGAGTTCTACTAGAGGAAGATGGCATTTATTGTGAAATTAATATACATAATTAAGCACATGAAGAAGGGCTTGCTGAATCTGAACCCTTTATTGTAAATCCTCTGTGGTGCTGATTTCATCCCATGCCACTCCTTTCACACTTTTAACATAATTTTCAATATATACAATGTCACTGGAAGAAATACTTTTAACTTCAGTCACAATTTAAAAATTTTTAAAAAAATAATTACAACTTTCCCATTTGTGTCATGGATTGACTGATACCTAAATATGAATTAGAGAATTTTAAGGAAGCTCAAAACACATAAACATATGAATGGCCTGCAGAAAAATTACTCTGAATTGCTACCAGCAAAATCAAAACACAACTGCTTTTAGTTACGCAAATGAAAATGTAGTATCAGGACTGCAGAGAGCCTAAGAAGTGCAAAGTTCAGGAAAAAGCCATGTATGCAGCTGCTCCAAAAATAACCATTGTCAGATAAAAGTCTGAAAGCAATTATTTGGGGTGAATATTGTACACAGACCACTGCACTAAGCTTCTATAATTAAACAAGGCAAAAGTTCAGATGGCGCCTAATAAGCCATTTACTACATTAATTATATTCAAGTGTGGCAGTCTAATGCTTGGTGATAACTAACAACAAGGGAAATAATTTAAAGAAACTATCTGATGTTGTAAATTTCTCTCTTTTTCATTCATCAGTACAATTGTTGCCAGCCAGCCTTTTTAACACACTTGAAACACATCAAAGGGATACTGCTTAGTGTCAGGAGGAGCTATTTAAGGGTTGTAAACCTTTAGGCTGAGGAAGCCAACAGCCTTACTCAACAAAAATGATCCCTTCACTACAAAAGTAGCAGTAAAGTCAGATTTTCCATTCCTTGAAGCAAGTGCCTATGTCTTTGTTCCAAAGCTACAATGCCACAGAAGCAAACTTTTTTTTTTTTGTAGTAACAGCAGCATCTTAGAAAACCTTTGCAGATCAGCAGATTTCCCACTGACCCTATTCCCTGGATCTGCCTCCACACTGATCACACTGTCCTTGTACACATCTGTGATTTTAATAGTATTTTCAGCGAATTCTTAACAAGATAATTAATATTAGAGAGGTATTTAATGTATTTCGGCTTATTTTAATGCCATTAGTAGCTAAATACATGGAAAATTAGCCTATACCATATGCCCAAGTACTTCTCTGCAGACTGCTAGCCAATTCCCTAGCAAGTACAGAGAAGTTTCCAAATCACAGTCTGAAAATTACTGCAGAGAGATTTGCATACTATTTCTGATGGGCCAGTAGCATTCCAACAACTCATGTAAAAGTCAGCATGCCCCAATAGTTTATGCAGTAAGCAGCACACACAGCATCAATTCACAATGCAATTGTTAGGATGCTACCACCAGGATGCTGTTCTACGTTATTTAACTAAACTGAAATTAAAAAAATAATTATTAAAAAATCAGTAGTATGACATTTATTTTTTAATTTTGCTTTCTTGATTTTAAATTATGCACAAATTATGCTTTCTGATTTTACTTATGCACAAGTCTACATTTAACCCAAGAGGGCATGTAACAATCATTTTGCAGATTCCAAAGAGCAAGAGATCAGATGAACACACAACTTCATCCATGATGTCTTTCCATTATGATGTTTACATAGGCAACCCTAGCCTGTCTTTAAGCTCCCCTTAAAAAAGTTTTCATAACATTTTCCCTATTGTTTGGCCTTTCTTTTCATATCCTTGGTAGAAAAGACATAACAAACCATAGATGTAGAACTCTGTAACCTTGCAAGAAACCTCTAACACTTTGTATACATCCTCCAACTCTGAATGTGCCGTGAGTGTGGACAATGCTGGGAAATCCTGTCCTCTGCCCAGATGAAGTGTAGAATAGAAAAGAGTTCTCTGGCTACCACACCAGGAGTTTTAGACATCCTAAACTCAATCAGAGAAGACTTCTGCCTACAAATAGTTTGAAGTCTTCACTTACAAGTTCTCAAATCCAGCACTTCCACAGCAAATGGCAAGAGGACCTTGCCTCCTACAGCACAGGTGTCCACAAAGTTGTTAGCTGCAGAAATGAGTGTTGAGTCCTTGGGTTTGAGTACATGGATGGGACTTCACCTCCAGACCCTTTATCACAGCTTCTCATTCAGCAAATATAGCACATATTTTCCAAATAGTGCTGCAGTTGGTCTTAGCAAGATACACACAAAATAAGTAGGTATCCATGGCAGGATTGCCATCAAAGAGTATTTTAATCAGAAACTGCCCATGAAAGAATAATATCTCCTAACCACACTTCAGATTTACATAAATTATAAAACCTTCTTAAAATAAAAATAAAAAAAAAGAAAAAAGAAAAAAGAAAAAGAAAAACTGCAAGAGTTCCATCTTTAAATGGAAAAAATGTGGTAATTCTTTCCCCATACCCAACAGCCCCACACTAAGCAAACAAGTTGAAATCATTTTCACCTAAGTTTCCCAAACAAGAAAAAGATATATACATACATATACATGCATTAACATTACCTGGATGCAGACGCCACTCCTGGAAAGTTTCATTGCAAAGGGGTTAAAGTTCAGAAAGTTTGCAAGACTGAAAAAGGAAAATCAAATTTAAAAATGTGCAAAAGCCTAAACCTTGAGGTTTGCCACTGCCTTCTGCCTTTCTTTTAGCATTTCCCTCCACATCTGAGATAACTAAACGTTCCTCCAAGTTACCAAATAAATTACTTGAATGAGTAACCCACCCATTCTTTTTCTAGTACCAAAAGAAACACATTGCCATAACAAAATAAACTAGAAATGGGAGTTGAGCATTAGACACTATAACATTCCCGATAAATTATAAAACCAGACCACAGAAGTGATCCACACCGCTTAGCAGAGGTGAATTCGCCGAGACTTTCTTTTTTCCTTTGAGAAGGTCGATTTTTATATGCTAGCACAGCTGCCTAACTATTGATAAGAGCAAGCTGCAAAAGCAAATATAGAACTAACAGAAGAGCCTCGAAAAGCAACCACAAAAAAAGGGTCTCATTTAAATTCCTGGAAAGCGCTGCTTCTCTAAACGTATCTATTCAAGCTCTCTTGAGCAGTCGAGCCCTCCTAAAACACACCCTTGCACACTCCCCGCCCGAAAACTGTTAAGCCAAGAAGCCACTAAACCATGCCACTGAGAACCCATATGGCTTCACCTACAGGGTTTTCCTTCCAGCAAACGCTGCACAGTAGAAATCCTCCCCTTCACCATCACCACCCACCTCCCAGAAACAACAAAAAAAAAGAGAAATACCCCCCCAAACCCCAAAAGAATAGCAATAAAAGGGAGCAGCTCTCGGCCCGGGGTGCCCCCACGTACCGCCGGGCGCTCAGGGCTCTCTGGGGGCCCTG